CGGTCATGCTTCATCGGTCGTCCCATAATTTTTGTATCATTCATTGCATAATCGACGATACATACGCCAGGATCGAGATCGTCTCTTTTCAATGACACATGGATGTAAACGATGCAGTGGCCTTTTTTAAGGCACTTGGCATGAATGATATCACGAATAATACGACACGTCGTACCCACACTAATCTGCCATCTTGCAACCATTCATCGAATAGTTGGAGGATTTTCTTTGTCGATATATGAAGTGACGCGGCGAACAATTGAAGGTGTTGCTATATGACGTCGACGATGCAATTTTAGTTTTGGACCATTTAATAAGCTCAATTGGCGCTGTTTTCCAACCTTGTTGGCAATACGACTAATGGTTCTTTTTGACAGATCCAAATTCATTTCGGATAATTCTTGTTGAATCATAGTGTATGAATACTTTTTCCTCAAAAGATATTTGACGACACCTTCGATGTTGTCAGCTATTTTATTACGAGGCAATCGTTTCTCTAAAATGTAAGTATTATGGTGGCATCTACAAGGTTAATGATATAGACTAATATAAAAATCGTGAACTTTGGATTAGCTAATAAAGAAGAAAAACTTTGCAAAAATCGTTTCAAAATAAGTTGAACACCTTGTATGGTGCACATATAATAATTCATCTGTCCTATTCTTTTCGTTTGAGATATGTGCTGACGAATCGGACTACTGTAAACTGATTATAAATGTGTAACATTTCTACGGAAATAATCTTGGGATAATCTTTCTCTTACTAAATGTATTAAAACGACATAGTCTGTTTAACACATTTGAATCTTTCAAATTAAAGTCACCATATTGGCCAAATTTATTTGAATAGAGGAAAACTATAGTGACTTCTTTCAACAGAAATTCCATCCCGTTGAGATATTTCTTTCTCTGTTCTCTCGCTTGTCGCTTATTTTGCATCGTCATTTAGCAAAAATGTATTTGTATTCTTTTGCTCTGTCATGTGAACCATATATACGTGAACCGGGATATATGTATATATATCCCGCTGGTCACAATAAACGGTACACCTTATTTTTTCGATTTCTCCATTGCGCTAGCGTCTTTTGGTCTCAAATTTATACCGTGGGTATACTTGTTGTTACTCTACCTGCTCCCAAAATTTCGGTCATAGAATTCGCTAAGAAAACGGTAAATGTATCTCGTGTATTCATGTGTGGTTGCGCCAAAAATTTGTTATTTTAAGCCAATATGTCTTTATTTTTTACACTAAAATTTACACAATTAATCGCGTTTTTACCGATACCTGAACTGTTCCAAGTATTTTGCTCGATAAAATACGTAAAAAAGCTTGAAACAGTTCAGGTATCGATAAAAACCCGATTAATTCTGTAAATTTTGGTGTAAAAAATAAAGAAATATTAGCTAAAAATAACAAATTTTTGGCGCAACTACACATGAGTACACGAGATACATTTACCGTTTTCTTAGCGAATTCTATGACGGGAGCAGGTAGAGTAACAACAAGTATACCCACGGTATAAATTTGAGACCAAAAGACGCTAGCGCAATGGAGAAATCGAAAAAATAAGGTGTACCATTTATTGTGACCAGCGGGATATATGTAAATAGATTGAGAACATGCAATCGTGTAGCTCATTTTAGATTCGCTGCTGTTTTTCTTAAGAATAAATATGGGTGGAACAGTGCCTCGACGCCAGTTAGGAAAAAATGGCCCCAAAGTGTCAGAAATTGGATACGGAGCAATGGGTTTGTCAGTCTTTTATGGCACACCTGCCCCTGACGAAGAACGTTTTAAAGTTCTGGATCGTGTTATTCAACTGGGAAGTACTTATATTGATAGTGCTGATTTGTACGGTGATAGCGAAGAATTACTGGGGAAATATTTCAAAAAATATCCTCAACAACGTCACAAGGTGATTATATATGTTTCTTTTCTTTTGTTAAACTGAAAGGAAAGCACACTTTTTTTCTTCCTTAGGTATTTCTTGCAACAAAATTCGCCAATGTCTTCAGTCCCGATGGAAAACTATCTGTGCGAGGTGATGCTGCCTATGTTCGTGAAGCAATTGAAAAAAGTCTTAGTCGTCTTCAACTTCCATATGTTGATCTTTATTATGTTCATCGAATTGACAAAACCGTTCCAATTGAAGAAACAATGGGCGTATTAAAAGAACTTGTCCAACAAGGTAAAATCAGATATATTGGTTTATCTGAATGCTCCAGTGACACCATTCGACGTGCCTATGCCATTCATCCAATAGCAGCTGTACAAGTGGAATATTCTCCATTTAGTTTAGATATCGAAAAAGACGAAATTGGAGTGCTGAAAACGTGTCAAGAACTTGGAATTGCCATTGTTTGTTATTCTCCGTTAGGTCGTGGAATGCTGACAGGACAACTAAAAAGTCCAGATGATTTTGAAGAAAATGATGTGCGTAGACATTTTCCACGATTTTCCAAAGAAAACTTTCCGAAAAATATTCAATTAGTGGAAACATTAAAACAATTTGCAGAAAAAAAAGGTTGTACCACCGGACAATTAACGTTAGCTTGGATACTTGCTCAAGGTGAACAATTTATCGTTATCCCAGGTACATCGAAAATAAAAAATTTAGAAGAAAATGTTGCGGCAGCGAAAGTTAAATTAACAAAAGCTGAAATTGAACAAATTCGACAAGCTTGTCAAAATGCTGATACAGCTGGAGATCGATATATGGCCGCACATAGTGGCCATTTATATGGAGATTCAGCGCCTCTTACAAAATAATGATCATTCAACTAAGAACTTTTTTTCATTCCCATCAATTAATCACTTGAAGACCATTTAACTAATTAAAATCTTAACTTTGAAACATAATTGAATAAATCTTTTTCGAGGGTGAGGGTGAGGTTGTGGGTGTAGGTGTTGATCAATAAAATGGTTATAGTCACGCCACATCCATACCTTGTCCCAGAGAAATAGTTTGAAAATACGCCGTTTCTGTGTGGCTAACCTAAGAGTGTGAGTGAGAAGTAGATGTCAGACCAACACTCTCTGAAAACAGGCTCCGTATATCATTAGATCTGGAGGAGAAATCTGGGACACACGCACATCTACTTTTGGCCCATAACTCTTGAATAACTCAATATTTTGCGCTGGAATTTTCACTATGGACTATCTGAGATCAGATACACATGCCCTGAAAATTTCAGCCAGATCAGTTGTTCTGACAGGAAAACTTTTTTTGGGTGGGAGGTGAGCCTTATTGACGGAGAACCTCTCGAAGTGCCAAATCTCTTTGACCCCATATTTTGCCCATATATAGGGGACGACTAGGCTAGCATAACCTCATGTTGGTTTGCTTTCTGAGGCGTTGGGGCTGAGTTATGAATTTTTCAGGTTACATAAAAAAATGCGACTTTGCCGATAAAATTTTGATTTCTCGGGTATTGAACGTTTTACTATAACGAGTAGACATGGTACCCCTATTAGCCTGAAAGTTTGGGCCTCGAGTTTTTCATATTTCTGTCAGAAAACTCATTCACTACACAGGGTACTGCTCCATGATATGAACTTCGATCCAGTTGATTTTTCCAGTGAAGATACTCTACTTGACGATTGATATTCACCCAAAGTTTCAACTCGTTTTCTGCTTTTATTCACGAGATACAAGATTTTTAAAAGCATTTTTCGCAGTGTTACAAGGGTTTTCCAGAAAAACTGAACTTTCGATTTTCGGGTTGAGGTTTTGCACATAAGCAGGTCCCCATAAGGTGAGCTTTTGCAAAAAGTTTCAAAATGTTTGGATACATCCACGTCGAGATATTAATTCTCGAAATAATCCTCTCCAACAGATGACAATGAATACATACAGAAGTGGAAACTTGAGGTGCCAGCAATTCAAAATCTCTTTTTCTTTATACATGGTTGGAAAGAGAATTGAATTTTGTATCGATTGGAATACTTTCGAAAAGTTTTAGACTTCGTTGAACGCTGGTAAATTTTTCGGAAACCCGGATTTTCAGAGACCTGTATATCGGGCTCGCGTAATATGGCATTGAGTTTTGAGTTGATTCATCTAGACTCGAGTGCGCTAAAGCCAAAACTAACGTCCGCGGCAAAGTGGAATAGGGAGACGACTTTTAAAAATGAGTCGGAAGTTGGTCAATATTTGGAAAAACTCTGCTTTTATCGTCAAAGATGAACCTCAGCAGGCTTTGGGTAAAGGCTTGGAAAAATACAAACTACTTTTTTTGTAGCGTGCATGATGAGCAATCTTACACACTCATTTCTACTTCAGTTTTGATTTCACCTTCGTGGTGAGAACTTCATCTCTATATGACTCGTTTTTGTGTTTTTGTACCATTTTAGAACAAGGATTACAGAATGATCAAAAGCAGTTTGGACATTTGATGCAAGGGAATATTTTATCACCCACCCCGTCTAGTATTTGCCCTAAAAGTTTGGGCTCAATCAGTTTAGTCTGCCGGAGAAATTCGTCTATAACGTTGTATACGATACCATCTGCATACCTCCTAGAGAAAGCATCTCCCGAAAAAGAAACATCTTAGTTAGAAAAATGCGCTTTAGAAGTTAAAACACATCTGTCAGTATTATGCATTGAGCACAATGTAGTGATGATTTACGTAATGTACTATACTTTGTTTCGAATAAATCTCGATTAGGTCACACATTTCAACTTCGTAAACGATTTCATATGTTGAAAGAGATAAACAACGAATAACGGAGTCACGTTGTGTTACCCGATCACAAACGGGCTGTTTACCTAGACTTCGGAAAACCTCAACCCTCAAACCCTCTCTGGGATAGAAAAAAAATTCCTAGGAAAGGTGTTGGAGGCTAGTACAGTAATATTTCTCTCATCTACTTCAATTCACTTTTTCTTCAGTATGTTTTATCTTTACATGACTCAACACTAGCGTTTTTAAAATTTCTTTTCTTTTCAATTCAACCTATTCTTTATAATAAAATAAAATGTACATATAACAAAATTCTCCATTCATAATCTCGTTCTTTTTCTTTCCCCTCTCCTTGTCATGCACATGATTTTCAGCCTTTTTTGTGATGTGTGTGCCTGGATTAGAAAAACATTAGATAATATACAATCAGTTATTTTGTTTTAAACTTTATGGAACATCCTGTACGAGGAGAAACTTGAAAATGACCGTATTAATAAATATCGAATTATAATTTTAATGTTTTAGTTTTAATTGTTTAATTTTTATTTTTTATTATTTGATTAAAACTTTTTATTAAAATTCTTAATATGATAGCCGCATTGGTTTTAAAATTTTTATTCTTAACTTTGCCCATAAACTCGAAAAACGTTAGATAAAACTACCTCGAACGATTTCAAGTGATATTTTTTCGAAAGAGTTTCCCGAAATCTTTTTAAAGAAAAACAGTGTAGATTCGTCTATTTTTTTGATTTTGAAACCCTTTTTATGAGTTTTCTTGGTTAACAGAGCTTTGAATGTGGATGCAAAAGAGTTCAAAGTCTGCTTATGACAATATTTTAGCTTTGCCATATACAAGTTTCACTCTATTTTTGAAATCATCATCCAGTTCGATATGTTGATTTGGTTGGAAATTAATTAATATTTCCTGCAATTATTGATACTGGTATTGTTCTTGGCTTTCTACCGAATACAAATCATATCTACTAGCCACTAATAGATCATAATCAATAACAAGACGATATAGGTTCGGCAATCATTTAAATAAGCGTTTAATATTAAGATGAACTTGGTTATTTACTATGATCAAAGTGCGAATAGTACATAATTTTACATCTGTTTTCCAGGAATTGTTGTTATCATCATTATCAATAAGACGAAAATTAGAGCCAATTTCTAATATCTGAAGATTGATAAAGATAGATTTCAACACTTGAAAAAATCGATCAGTGTACTCAGGTTGTTGTTTATCATTTAGAAATACTCGTTTGATTCGTGGAAGTTTGAATTCTTCTTGTCAATAATTTAACCGATAGTTTAAATATTCATTTGTTAATGAACCGTTAAAATTTGACAGTCATATGGTGGCGAAACGATTGTATAGGTTTGATAGAATGAATTTGTAAAAAGCATCACGGATTGATTGTGTTTTAATCAATCCGTGATGTCAGAGGTGTTGAAATTAGGACAATAAATCATTCGCATAGACAGACGAATCGTCAAATGAATGACAGAAAAACTAAAACTAAAATTGTTTTAATGATCTTTTCAACGGCTCTAATATTCGTCCATCAATTATATAATCAATTTTAAAGCGCAATTTTAATATTTCTAACGCCGATTGACTTTGTCGAAGTAGAAGGTTCAAGTCATTGAAATCAATATCGTTTGCAGATATAATATGTTGTCGTAATTTCAGTAAAAGGTTTTTTGTTTTTGAATAATTGTAATCGTATTTACCTGCTTTACCGTAAAAAGCCAACAGAAAAACAGTTAAAAGCGAACTAGATTTGAACAAAAAAAGAACTTGCGAGCAGAGGTACAAACAGACTATCCGCCCTGATCTTCGAGCCTATTACAAGGCAGGTAGGCAGTTTAAGATAGATAAGTCATGGCAAGATATCAGACAGATCGTCTGCCTGCTATATCCTTTCAACTTGAAACTAGAGAAATTTAACCTAAGAGAGGCCTCTCCATAGAGGACAGTATGACCAGCAAGCTTCTCATTCAAATTTCCACTGTAAGATGCTTCAGGGAAAAGAAACGGTTACTAAAAAAGACTATACATGTAGTGCAGAAAATCCATTGTAAAACCCATCGTCCCATTTCTTCGGTAAAACTGATCTGAAAGAATGCATATTTTTTCTACAGATACAACTTAGCTCTTTCACTGCGAAATATTTTCTTTATATTAAGAATTGTGTTTTGAGCACTTTTTGTCCTAAAATTTTTTTTCATGACAATTCAAGCAGAAAAAATGTTTCACAAAAAACGGCACAAAAATTTCCTCAATTTAGCTTCTCTGATGCGGATACTCAAGCATTCCAATTGTGGTAGATATTCTAATAAAATAAATAAATGATGTTGATATTCAACAGATAATTTTAAACGCTCATTTTTCATTCTTTTTTCCGCGCGGACCGCAACGAATTTTTATTTTCTCAACTTTTTTGAAGTAATTTTTAAATACTTTTCCGATTCCTTCCTAATTACTAATACCACCATTACAGTGTTCCAGCGGAGGAAAATTTCACCGCCTCCGGACTTATTAGATAGTACCGATGAGGATGATGGTAACAGTATAAAAATGAGTTCACAACCATCACCAGAAACAACGGCTATTCGACAAAACCGTAATACAGCTAACACAACTGTATTAGGGCAGCGAACACTTACAACAGTATCTCAGTCTACGTTGAATGATTTAGCACAAGGTGATGATGAGGCTTTTCATGTTGTACATCACCAGCGTCGTCGATTACAGCCGAGAGAGGCGCAAAATGAGCAGTTTTTTGATGCAACAACTTCACCATATTTACCTACATCTGTTTCCAAGATTTCAAAGGAAGCAGAACTTTTCAGTTGTGAATTCAGATTTCCGCCGGTGAAAATTTCATTTTCTAATACAACGTTTTGTTTACTGATCAGATCGCTAGACAGTTTATTGTTGAATTAAAACGACGAAATATTAGAACTCGTAACTTGGTTTCATTTTGGCGAATTGATAGTACAAAGAAATATTTATTTGTTTATGGTGATAACCGTGAAGCATTCTCACAGTTACTTATGAATGACACATATCCAAGTAGTATTAATGATCAACAATTTAATGTTGATCAGCCTAAGAGTATACCTCCACAGATGAGTGTTTTAGCTATGGGAGTTTCTTGTCAGCTATCAGAAGTAGAAGTACTAGCTGATGTTCAGGAGCAGTATGCCTCTGCGGATGTCGTCCTTTTCGGCTGTCCTGCATCTAGCCGAACACGAAATGTTAAGGTCAACTTCCGTGACAGCCGTGATTACACAAAATGTCTGAATAATGGGTTCATTTATGTTAATCATTTGAAGCTAATAGTGAAACGCTATTTGGGTACGCCCAGGGTCATGCTATGCTCAAAATGCCAGGGATACGGGCACTTCCGAGCTAAATGTACAAGTGCTCATGAATACTGTGCTGTCTGTTCTGCAGAAAGATCTCTTGATTCACCACATGTGTGTACCAATGTTACTAACGTAAGTGCAGAAATTGCGGCGGTGATCATTCTTATGCATATTCTCAGTGCACGGCATTGTTACAGTATAGAAGAGAATTAATTGAACAGCTGTTGGAAAAAGATATGATTCCTAATCATGTACACATACCTAAAGCATTTAGAAGTCATCTGAACAGAGTTTTTCCCCTTACACCTGCACAAAATCGTGTTACATCTAATGTTAAACAACAGGTTAATCGTAAAGTATCACCAGCGAAGTCCTCATCTGTTAGACAGGCACAGTTATTAACGTATGCTAATGTTCTCAATGGAACCAATAGTGGCGAAGATTCACCAATTAGGAGTTGTAATGTTGAAGACCACATGCAACATTATCAGCAACAGTTATCGGACATTAATAAAGCTCATGTTGATACAATGTTGAATCTTAGTAATCAAATTAACATGTTAAGTGCAAAAGTCGACTGTGTATCATCGAAAGTAGAACAAATGAACCATTTAGTTAGCAAGGTTGTAATTCCATGTGTATCTACATTAGCTGATTCGTTAGTTAAATTGAACGAAAAACTATCTTGTATGGAAGGTAAACCAGACAGACAGACAGTTTCTCTTTTAGGTATAGAGGCTGAAGCAGAAAGTGAGAAAGTGAGAAGAATGACAAAATGTTTAGAAGAAGCAGTAACTGTGACTAAAACTAGCTTTTTTCAAAGTTCAAGGATTTTTTCAAGTTTAATGTCAAAATGTCCTTTTCCTTCAGCACTGCCGACTACTAACGTTATTTCGACTTCTTTATCCTTCCCAACATGAATTTTAACCCTTTAGCTCCACCTTTTGTTTTTTTCGAGCCTTGTATAGATTTAAATGCTGTGACGTCTAATCTCGAACAGTTGTGTGATCTCGATCGGGAGCTTTTGAAGTTGCTAGTTCACGAGTGGAATTCTAAACGTTCTATTTCAAGTTTGTCAAATTTTTGGAACTCTTTTTCCTGTGACAGTTTTCTTACTACAAAACCGTTGTCCTCTCTTCTGTTTAATGTTGGAGGCTTATCGAGTCGATTACCCGAAGTTGAGGAAATTATAAATTTTAGTGCACCAACTGTGTGTGCTTTGATCGAAACTGGCAACACTATCTCGAACTTAAATCATGCTTGGTTTCCATCATATAAACGTTTCTTCACACCTGGTACAAACGCGCACGGCGGAATATTACTTCTAGTGCATAATTCAGTTCAGGCTACGGTTTTTTTTGCAGAACCTAATTTGCTCGCAGTTTCAGTTTGCTTAGGTTCAGTTTCGATTCAGGTGGCAGCATGCTATGCGCCACGCTCTTCAGATTTACCACTGAGTTCACTACGCTCGGTGTGTTCGAATACGCCATGTCAACTGCCTGGAGATTTTAACGCGTACTCGGATCTGTGGGGCTGCGCTTCAACAGACAGCCGTGGACGGCAACTCGAACAATTTATCGAAGAGCTGAACTTGAATGTTAGCGCCACAGAAGTGACGTCTAAAAGAGCGACAACTTCTATCAACGTAATTGACCTGGTGATCACATCGTATCCGAATCCTTACACTAGCGTCCTGAAATAAGGCACTTCTAATCACTGGCCAGTGCTGAACACCAGCGTTTTTGCTACTAGCTCTATGTATTATTTTAAAGACGTTCGGTGGTCTGTCTACACTATTTTTCTATCATTTGTCTTTCCTTATTTAAATCATCTTCTTTATCAGTCCAATGCCAAAGAATTCTGCGATTTGTTTTCGAATTTGCTAGGATCTTTATTAGTTCATGTTTCTCGAATGATTCCAGTCCAAAAGTATCGTCGCTCTCTGCCACTTATAATTCGGGCTGAGATTTTAAAACTGCACAAGCTGAGGAACAAATTTTATAAACGTCGAAACAGGGATGACCTCTCGTTTTTTTATACAAAGAGCAACGTTCTTATGTGAACTCTTTAATTGAAAATCATCGGATCAACCAATACATTCGTTTTTTAGATAACTGCTCAACTCGAGACGCTACTCTTTTCTGGAAGTACACAGCAAAACATTTTACCACTTATGCTCCTCAAAGTAAAGCGCTAACTCATGAAAACGACCTAATTTCCGATCCACAACAGATCTTAGACTGCCTTGCTGAACATTATAAAAATCACTTTCGTTTACCGGTAGATCTGTTGAAGCGCAGCCCCATAGATCCGAGCACTAAAACAAATTATGTCTTCCCCTAGAGATCAGTACAATGAATAACTTTTGCATTGACATAAAGTTTCCAAAATGCTTCGTTGAAATGGTGGACTCAGTAAGAATTACTTTTGGTACTAGGTGCAATGGCCGTTTACAATGGCCAAATCTGTTTTCTTGTCTCGATTTAAATCGCCGACTGCGATGCCAATTGGATATGACCCAATTGTGTAGATCAATGGGCTGCTGAAGGTGCCATCATGTTTACCAAGCAGTACGCTGACCGTATCGTCATCATTATTTGCAGTGACAAGATCCGGGTTCGAATCGTCATTAAAATCGTTGATAGCGACGCTCTGTGGATAATTTCCAGTTCCGTATGTCACTTGATTTAGAAACAACAACGAACAATCTGACAATTCAAGAAAAAATCGAATATGTCATAATGTGAGTAAGTCTCTTTTGAAACAATTCTGAAATTGATCGTTTGGAAAAAGCGTGATAAGCGGTTTGCGTAACAAAATGACCGTCTTCTGAGAGTTGGAGACAGCTCTTAGTTTCGAGAAGAATAAATTACGTAAATTATCAACAGAGTAGACAAAGACCTTAATAATGTTGAAAAGTGTGTGCGCTGGCAGCGAGACACAGATTTCCTGATGCAGTTTAACATCCTGAATCCAACGTCAAAAACTACAGGCCTCTCACTTTATTGGATCAAAAGGTTTTGTCAAAAACACTCAGCCGGCGGAAATAGCATCAGTTCTAGAGTCTGCAGAAAGCACATTTCCGGTCGTAGAACTTGATTTTAGTCTCAAATAAAAGACGAGCTAATTTGTACACAAAATGATGAGAAAACTTATGTCAGGCATAAGACCTTTGAGATAAAAGTTTCGGAAAATCAAGTTTTCGAGAAAACTCAGCTGACGTTTAGCAGATCCAATCCACTTTTCAAAACAATTACATGACAGCTCTTTGAGTTTCTTTCAACATGAGATTTCTTTATCACTTTTCACGGCGGTCAGACGGTAGTTTAGAGGGTTTTTCGAGACTGAGTGAGAGTAGAACCAGACTTTCAGTCCTGACGTAGGATTCCAGTTTGTTTTAATCTTAGAGTTGTCCGTTAGATAAACACTGTTAACAGATTTTCTTACGTTGAAATGAAATTCTTCAGTTCCACCAAGTCACGGCATATTAACAGACTGTCGCTCTTCTACCAGTGTTACGGTTTTCCTGTCGAGCAAACCTTTCTCTATCTTTCTTCAGGCTACTACTCTTGGTCATAGTCGTATTGATTCGATTGAGCGTGGTGTTCAAACGAACTGAAGAGATAAACAGAGATAAAGAAATGAGCTCGAGTTAGTAAGTGTAGGCTTCGCTACTTCATGATCTACCTGTTGATGTTAATGTTGTTGTAGGTTTTGTAGTACTGACAGTAATCTTTGCTGTTGTTTTTGTAACTAAATCAAAATACAGTTGCTTACTATATAGTGAAACAAAAAATATGCTGAAACCTCACTTACTCTTCGTCGTAGTAGGTTTAGTTGTACTTGTTGTGGTTGCTGCATGTGCTGTAGAGAAAGAAAAGTATAATAAAGGCGACCTCAACTGGTTACTGCTGTCTCAGCTGTCACCGGGCAACCAGATATTGCATCCATTCTTTCTAACCTACTAGCAGTTAGACTTTATGTCGTCGTAGCATTTTTTGCTCTTCCTGTTGTAGTGGAAGTCGTGGTAGTTGTAGCTGTTCCAAAGGAAAACAAGCAAAAAACGAGAAGTCGCTTAGTATAATTGATAGAACCAAAAAGTCCTTCACCTGCTACAATTGCGGGACAAATCTGTTTGTTTGCCAAAGTCAATGGGTAGCAGAGGCACAGTGGGCATTCAGGTGGACATGTTGGGAAAAAGGCGAAGTTCACTTTATTCTCACTTGAATATCACCTCATCTACTTCATTTCGTGGGCTATTTAACGGCAAAAAAAGCTTTTGTCCGAAGCCATTTTTCCGCAGAGAAATGACCCATGAAAAATTCTCTGTGAAATATGCTAATTATTTAGGAAAAGTGAATTTTCTTCATAAAAATTCGGTTGTAAATGCAACCTAAGGATATATTCAGAATCAGCGGAATCTGTTCTATCCAACACTATGCAAAAACTTCATCTTGTGCACTTATTTTAAAAAATAATAGAAACTTTTCTGGGAAAAACCGCATTTCCAAAGTGTATACTTGGTTCAAAGAGTTTCTCAAAGCTTCCCAATCTCACTGAACCTTGATCTTTGATCAAAGTAAGCACTAATACCTCCTACACTTACAGTATTAGCGAAAAGTTGCGAAATTTTAACTGCTACTCTGACCAGATTTTCAAAGACCCCTCGGTTTTTGAGGTAAAACTGCGCTTTCTGCATCTTAAAAACATGTTCTATTGCATAAAATATATATCAAGGAGAATGAAGAAAAGAATATATCAAGGAGAAAGAATAAGAAAAACAGTGGTTTATTTATCAGTTTCGTCTTCTTCTCTACTCTGAATAATGGATGGGCGTTGATCTATAATATATTTTTTCCTAGTTTTACTATTACAATCGAAGCATACATTTTTTTATTAGTATTAGTAACATAACGCAAAGAAGAAAGATTATTTACTGGAAACACCATAAAAGTATTCTCGCGATTTTGTACAAACAAACTCAGAACACAAGTAGAAGGTTAGCCTCCACATATTTCTTAGAGAATGTTTTAGTAATATGCGATATTAACTCAATTAAAAATACAAAATCAGAGAAGATTATACTATTTTCTGCTCGAATACTCTCAAAGAGAAGCTGTTAGATTCAGTACTATATTAGGATTTAAGAACTGTTGAAACAAAAATAATTTTGTTTCGAATCTGTTCCATTCAATTTAGCTACTATGTCTTACAAGAAAGATACAAATCATCTCTCTTCTCTGCTTGATTTAAAACTCATATTAGACTTACAGGTCGTTAGACATTCTGAGGCATCCGTTCATTGGACGGTAATTATTTGAGAAAGATTTCATACGAACAATGCTAAGTACAGACAAACTTAACACTAAATATAACGAGAAGGGCTTGCCGCCTTCATGAATTCAGCTCAGAAGGTAAGTCTTTTAGCCTCTTACAAAATTGAGTATATTATATGAAAGGGATTTTTCCGCCACATAAATCGTGCGAACGATAAAGTATATAATTTGTTGGTTTACGCTTACGCAGGCATTGGAAAATTACCATAAAGGACGGGAAACGGTTTCTGCTAGAAAATCGCCCAATATGATTTTGAGTGGAAATGATCGGAAATGCATCCCTTTTCACTTCCCAACACTTCCCATTTTCAAAAAATCCTTCTGGTGTCTCCTCAGACCCGGAACGTTTTATATATAGATAGATAGAGAATTTTCTGGGCTTCAAAATAAGCTACAAATAAGTCTTTCGAAAATATGTCCACATGGGTCAATAGTCGAAATACTTGACAGATACACAGGCCGCCGCTATGTCACTGGAACTGCCGGTCACTTTTTCCTATGAAACTAACGATGGTTCCTAACCATTCATATATCATTCAATGCGCTTTGCAAAGTTCTACAGGTTGTGTTCATAGGAAACTTAACAAAGCTTGCCAGGGACTTTTGTGTATTAAATACTTCGCCACTTAAACCTACAGTGGGTCGAAAAAATTATTCGTCCACCTTTATTTTTCATTTTTCTCGTCAACCATAATAGCTATAACAAATTTGAAAAAAGATTTGAACAGCTGAAAGAATTTTTGATACGATGTGGTGTACGGAAAGGTTCTATCAAAACTTCTAAAATCAGGGTCTCTGGAAAACCCAAATCTCAGAAAACCAAGTCCTTGAGTTCAATCGAGAAATTCTTTGCAAGTAACTCCATCGTATAGAGCAAACAATTCTGAACAAAATGAAACGTCTCCGAGCTCTGTGCGGTACGTTTTCATGAAACAGCATTCGATTTAAAGAAAGCCCTAAGGGAGTATGTTTGCGGTACGGGAGCTTCCGTAAATCAAATGCTGTTTCATGAAAACGTATTGTCAACTTTCACAATTCCGTAAAAATTCCAAACTTCAACCAAATTAGTTTAACCGCCACTCACTCTCATGCTGTAGCATCACCCTCCCCTCACTCAGATAATGAAGAGATTTAAAACTATCGCACATATCTCTTATAAGTAACACTTTATTTACAAAGAAACACAACTAGAAGCAAGCATTATTCAATATACAAATCAAAATCAATTCGTCTTAAAAGCATAAAACTGTTCTGTATCTATTCGTCGATGCCATACAGAATTTTTATACAAATCAAATTTTCCCATACTATTTAACTTGATCATTTGTTCACTAGAAAATGGACCATGTAATCTGATATCTGATGTATTTTCAACTTTATATTCCCATTGCACTGTTGAGGCTAAAATACTACACACAGTACATTATAATCATATACGACGGGTAAATAAATTTTATCGATGTATTTATGCATGTTTGACAAAAAAAAAGATTAATAAATTAGGTATCAGATTATACTCATCATTTCGTTGTTGAATGTAAAAGATTTTAACTACTTGGAGTTCAAACGGACTTGATAAAAAATCCCCAAGTCCGTTGAGCCTCAAGTCGAAGTCCGTCAAAAAAAAAACCTTCAAGTTCGAGTTTAAGTCCAAATCCGGACTTGTACTTGCCCACCTCTGCGTTCTGTTATCATTATTCGTAGCAACTTTTCTTATATTTCCAACGTCTTTACTCCCCTCAAATGTCACACGTTTACATATTTGCGACATTATCTAAAACAAAATTTAGTAGTTCCCGTAAAAGAAAAGCATTCTACGAATGAATTATTTAAAAATGATCTCCTACTATTAGTAAAAATATAAAAAAACGAAATAACCAACAGGACTGTAGACAGTGATAACATCCAAAAGAAGGACAAGTTATTGGAATTTCTCAGACAATGTTTTCTAAAAACCTATCTTATTTAATATCATGATTAATAAGTTTGAACGAAATTATTCAAGACTAATTGAGAAAAGATTTTATTAAGAGATGATCCGAATTAAATTCGACAATGAGAATGAGAATGATAATATATGACAACTCTTGAGCAAATTAAAGACAATAACAAACAAAAAGTCATTTAAATTTAAATTTCTTTTTTATAAACAGCAAGTAAATACAATAACAAGAATAAAAAAAGCCATAGTGAATAATTATTAACGTTTCTTAAAACCATATTTTTTTCTTTCATAAAATAAATCCGTTTTTGCACTTCCAAGATTAACAATTTTCGGACATCCATCTCGATCTTTTTCCGTTATTGAACATTCTCGACAATAGTAAGCATCTGAACATCCTACAATAGATGATCAAAGCAAAATTAGTCATCGTATCAACAGAAAAATGCTCCAATAATTTTACCTGGTCCACCACAAATGACACATCGTCCTTGATATGATCCATAATTGCATTCATCACATATTCGAACTAACGTAGTTGGACGTACATAAGAATCACAAATTACACATCGTCCATCGCATTTTTCACACAAACGGCCAATGGCCACACCGGCTTGTTTTCGACAAAAAATTAAATCTGGATGATGTTTAGCCATCTAGAAAAATGCAAGATAAAAGATATTCTACATAATACAGCAAAGTAATCAATAAAGAGTAGGAAAAAAGGTTTCTGATTCAAACAGAAAATAGATAATGAACTATAAGTCAGAGCATATAGTGCACAACAAAATATGATCAGCGTATTATCTATTGGTTCTCATATAGAATACCAGTAAGACACAACAAAAAATGCTTGTATCACAATACACATATTCAAAACAGTGTTTTTAATGTTTAGTGCGTCTAGCTTGAGCAAAATGGGTTTCCACTTTGAACATTCGATTTCCACTTTATTTTTAGCAGGGAAAACATAGAAAATGCAGTGGTAAACTATGAAAACCCACTTGGCTTAAAATTCATATTAAAAACACTGATTCAACAAAGTTAGTTATACAAGAAATAAAATAAATGAAAAAAGCACAATAAAACAGTAATTTAGAGAAAATATACTAAAACAGATTTAATAAATCCAAAGAAGTTCTATGTTCCCTTTCTGGCAAACTGCGAAATAGTATGGGACCGCACAGGCAGAAAATGACTAATCAGTCAGTAGAACAGGTTTAACAAATCCGAATTCTAAAACGCATATGAGCTTCAGAGATGGTTGGCTATTGTCAATTAATGTGATTTCCAAAAAAATATGTTTTCTTACATCAGTTACTTTCGCAACATTCTTAAATGAACAGGGATTTCAATCTTTAGTTTTTACTTACATATATATTCGAATTACGAAAAACAAAAATGGCTTTACGTATATGGACGATTTTTAACCAATCAAATCTGAGACAATACCTTCAAAATGAGGTCATTATTCAGCGCTATTGCGAACGTGAATCACATTGATATCAATGCTTATTGAACGAAATTTTAATGAAATTATATCTAGATCCAAAAACAACTCTCATAAATAGATGGCACTGCAATCAACACACTCAGTGTCATAAAGACATAACCGAATATAACATAAAGAGGAGAGAAAGACAGATTACTTGACAATATCTTAAAAGCCCAAGATCCCTATTTTTATAGATTAGAACTTTAGTAGGTCTGCTTAGAAAAGTTCAGACGTCAAAAAAGGACAGACAATAACTATTGTTCATCTTAGTTTCTCGAATGTAACTGACTTCTGACATAGTATTTAAAGTATATTAAAAAACTTCAAAAATAGATGTCTTACATAGTCTGCAGTGCATCAAACATAACCTCAGTAATCTGTTGGAGAAATGAAAAGAAATTTGTTGATTTTGATTGGTTAAATTCTCGTTTCTGTATTTAAACTCAACTCACACGTGTTATATCAATCAATTGTCAGTAGTGTTTCTTGGTTGATAATTTACAGTATTTCTTATTTTGTATATCTGATCGTGCAGTTAGTTTATTATGAGAACGCAACTGCGGATTGACATTCCCACGAAGTAATCAACCAGAGATTGAGGAGAACTTGCAAGATCTTATACATATTCTCGATTCATTCAAGTAATCATTCTTATCAGGGGCGTCTATCCTGTGGGACGTTTGAGGTGCAATGTCTCAAACAAAAGTAAGGTGGACGCTATTTTGCTGTAGAAATTGATTTTTCAGGTGGTACACTGAGAGGTCGACCCTCCGAGGTGGTATAAAATGCCTCAAACATTCAGGTGGGGATAGACGTCGCTGATTCTTACTCTTCAGATTTTGTCATTGGAAGCAATTTCTTCCGGTTATTATTAGAATTGATTGAGGGCAAGATGTGACAATTGCCACACCAAAAAACCGAATCTGGCCCGCTACTGGCCAGGTCAACATGACGTTTTAACCGATCGGTTGAAAAAACGTCAGGTTGAAACGTTTTAAACCTTTGAATGATTTTGTATTGAGGAATGGAATAGCCAGTAGGTAGGGTTTTAGTTTGAAAAGGCACATTTTGCTAAACAATGGTGAAAGGAAATGCCTTTCATTTATTTATGTCTCTCGGACATTTCTGGTTTGAAGACTGTTGCATATAATGACTCAGTTTATGTACTTTGCATATATGTTAGCTGAACTGAATTCATTGAATTAATATTTTAAATTAAATGAAGATTTTAGTTAAGAAACTCTTTGTGGTTATCGGTTTTTTGAAGAAATCCGTTGTTTTTGAAAAAAATACATTTTAGTTTTATTTTATTTCATAGCGATACCATCTTTCCCACAATAATTTATTTATCTCAAAAACGACGAATTTCTTGAAGAAACCGAAAATGACAAAGAGTTTCTAATTAGAATCTCTATTTAATTTAAAATATTAAATACTTATCAAATTATTGACTTACAAATTACATGATATCAGCTGTTGGCTTGTAGGCTTTGGAGCACATATTCTTCTATCTTCACTTTATTAAGATAAGCTTTTAAACTTTGATTCTAACTTTTAGATTTATCGCATAAGAAGAACATAGTTGCTTATCATAAGAATGCTTGAACATCTTACTCATGATAAATCATGGTTCAATAAATATGAATGTGATCAAGCTGAATATACTCATTATGTAGTGTTTGTAAGTTAGATTTTCGATTTTTATTCTTTGTATATAGCTCGCACTTTTTCCCATTTTTTTATTGAAAACAAGTTGCCAAAACATGAAAACTAATTTAAACTTATATATCGGTTTATAGATTTCAATAATTGCTTATATTATCCGTAAATTTATTGTTAGCCAAACGTTTCGGCTTGGTAAAGCCTTTATCAATGGCACATAATAAGAAAACGGTCAAACAACTGAAAATAAAACTAACATAAATCTATAACAGGAATGTAAACTTGAAAATAAACATCATATAGCACCGAAACAGATTATTATAGTAATAAGGCACGTTTTACATTAAGCTCTATAATTTATTTGATTGCGTGGTCTTAGATTGTGAGATTTAGAATCATTCATTTGATCCAATTTGTTTAATTGATAATCAAATACCCCTCCTGAATCTTTTTCAACCCATTTATCAATCAAAGGAGCCCAAGATGGCGGATCAGTGGGCTCCTTTGATTGATAAATGGGTTGAAAAAGATTCAGGAGGGGTATTTGATTATCAATTAAACAAATTGGATCAAATGAATGATTCTAAATCTCACAATCTAAGACCACGCAATCAAATAAATTATAGAGCTTAATGTAAAACGTGCCTTATTACTATAATAATCTGTTTCGGTGCTATATGATGTTTATTTTCAAGTTTACATTCCTGTTATAGATTTATGTTAGTTTTATTTTCAGTTGTTTGACCGTTTTCTTATTATGTGCCATTGATAAAGGCTTTACCAAGCCGAAACGTTTGGCTAACAATAAATTTACGGATAATATAAGCAATTATTGAAATCTATAAACCAAATCATAATCCGTACGCAGCATGAATTCAACTTATATATCACGGTGAAAATAAATCTGTTGCAAATTTGCTGAAGTCTTCGATCATTTTCTCGGCATATAACGGATAAAGTTGACCACTTTAAACGTTGTGGATGCTATCACATTCTCCGGTTAATTTTGCAGATTTGATCTTTTTGCGTATATTTAGAGTGACAAATCCGTTAAAGGCACATGTCAAAAAACACAACAGCATGCTGGTGGAAACGAGACGGCAACTAGCCAGTCGAAAGTATGTAGGCTTTTCGTTCTTTATTAATATTTTGCTGAGAGAAGCAGAAGAGGATAAATTTTCAGAAAACGAAGAACGCCGCTTCTTCAAGAACCACCGCTAGCACAACGGTATGTCATGTAGTTTTTGTATTTAATGCAATATTTTAATTTGTTATGTACATGTTCCTTTTCTTGTCCTTTAACCTAATGAATAATCTGGCATAACACAAGCATTTACCCTAAACACTTGCTGTAATCCACATTATGTAATAGATTGTAACTCTGCTTGTTCTTTTTTGCATAAATAATTATAAGTCGTCATGAAAGTTTGAGTATGCTTCAAACTTTGTGTAGCTTTTTTTATTGTTTGATTATTTTTTAACGTTAGTTATATAGTACGCATCTGTGAGCTTTATCTTTATGTGTTGATTTTTGAATATGAGTAATTTGTTTTCAAATATTACGTATAATTTTGTTGTTGTATTTTGCCATCACGCATGTAAAGAAATTTCTTAAAAGCTACCTGTTTATCTTCTCGCTTATGAGTGAATTTATTTTACAATATTTATCATACTAGTACTACTCACGAATATGAGGCAAAATACTTTTCAATCATGTTTTTCCCCAGAAGAAGAAATAAATACCCGTTGCCACATTCTAGGAAGCTAGTTCAAATAGTTCATGTGAAAAAATACACGATGTACGTAAAGTTACACATTCAACATTGGAATCATCAAACAAACCTCAACAACCGCAAGAACAATTTAAACAAGAAGGGGAG